CACCCTGAAAAGTGGCTCTGATACGCACAGCGATGGCGTAGAACACTCAGGGAGCAGACCGGAGGGGCCCTGAGATCTATTCTTGGAGTAGCTAAGGAAAGAGCCAGGGAAGAGAGGGCGGCCCCTTGGGCTGAGCAAAGCCAGGGGAGTAGGGGTGGGTGGAGGGAGAGCCCAGAGGGGGAAGCACTGTGTACCAGGTTCATGAGAGATTAGGAACCAGAGATTTTCAGAGAACTCTAGTATGCTGATCGGGCCAGAGGGCACATTGGGAAGGAGGCTGTCTAAGAACTGTGGCCAGACGTGCAGTGGGCGCCAGGTGACCAGGGGCATCCCATGCCCTCCTGAGGAGGTTGGTGGTTACCCTCTGGCAAGAGGAGATTCTGGACATTCTGGGCAGGGGAAGGGCCCTGGAGAGTTTGCATTTTGGAAAGAGCACATGGGTGATATCAGGTGGCATATGGATTCCAGGAGGAAGGCAAGCCCGGAAGTAGGAAAACCCACTAGGGATAGAAGGAGCATCAGGAAAGGGAGGGTAAGAGACAGAATGGGGAAGAGTGGGAGAAAGGGGAGGGTGACATTGGGACTTCCGGCTTAGGAAATGAGCTGACTTCGCTGATGAAGGAATTAGAGAAATGGAGATGAGGAGAAGGGTGATAATCTCACCTGTAATGCACAGAGCACATCCAATCATGGTTCTGGAGGACAGAGGCGAATCCCTGAGAGGCCGGGAATCCCCAGAATGTCAGTGGTGATGGAAGCACTTCTGAATTTCTTTCCAGCCCTTAAACCCTGCCATGCAATGAATGACATGATCTCTCCAACAAATGCCCTTTTCAGGAAGTCTGTCACTAGCAGTGGCCCATGTTCAGGGATGTGGTGACATGGAGCAGTTCTTCCTCACAATTGTCATCAGTAAATAAATTGTCATCCCAACCTCATGCTGACATGGAAGATCAATCAGAACCTATTTATTGAGTGTCTTCTTTGTGTGAGGTACAAGGGAGTTTTTTTGGCTTTTTTTTTAGATGTGAAATAATGTCTTTTTTTTTTTCAATTCAAGATAGGGAGGTAAGCCAGAGAGGCAGAAAGGAGAGATGGGAGTGGGAGAAATTTCTCACAAAGGTCAGGACTGGGTTTCAGCCTTGGGCTGGATAAGTTTGGATTTATAGCAGAAGATCAAATGGAAATAAGTATGAATAAGAAATGTATTGGAGAGAATGATTCCGACTGGAGAGGAGGATCTGAGATTTACCCCAAGGACCCTGGTAATTGAAGACGGGGAGTCTGGGAAGGGTGGAGAGGAGAACTCTGAGCCTTCTGCAGGTCCCAGGGAGGGCCAGAGTCTTGGCAGATGTCGCCTTCAGGCTGGGAAGGGGCGAGGCCAAGCCAAGGGGGCTGAAGGGAGGGCAAGAATAATACAATGTGGGAAAACAGAGCTCAAGGAGTGGGTGTCACCAGACTCAGAGGTCAGGGTGACTGACCAGAAGATGATCATCAGATTAATGATGAGTCGGTCAAGTTTACTTCTCTGGGGAAAAGCACTGGTTACTGAGATAAAGGGGAAGCGAGATTTTAGATCATCAGGTCATTAAGGAGGAGGAAGGGTAATATGGCAGCAGTAGTAATAATAATAGTTGGCCTGTAATCCCAGCACTTTGGGAGGCTGAGGTGAGTGGATTGCCTGAGCCCGCAGGTTCGAGACCAGCCCGGACAACTTGGCAAGACCTCATCTCTACAATAAATCAAAAATTAGCCGGGTGTGGTAGCGCACGTCTGTAGTTCCAGCTACTTGAAAGGCTGAGGCCAAGGATTGCCAGAGCCCAGCAGGTCAATGCTGGGGTGGCCGTGAGCGTGTCACTGCACTCCAGCCTGGGAAACAGAATGAGACCCCCAACTCAAAAATAATAATAATAATAATGATAGTTGACATGTACCATACTGGCCTCCTACGTTACATGCCAGGCAGTCTTCTAAGCCCTTTCTCTGTGTTGCTTAATCCTCACAGTAATCGCAGGGACATACCAACTTGAGTATTATTTTGTAGATTGATATGTTATTCCCATTTTATAGATAAGCTGAATGAGGAAATAAAGGTCATGAGGGCAAACAATTCCTTTGGCACATTTTGCAGGGATAGAAGACGTGGAAGCTTGGTAGGTGGTGACATGACCAAGTGAAAGCTCTTTCAGGAGATTTTTACCTCTGTGAAGCCAGTGACAGGAGGAGGGAGGGGAGAAGTCAGGGGAGAAATCATTGACAAAGCTGGAGAAGGAAGAGCAGGTGGGCCCGTGGGGCAGAGAGACCAGCCAGGACGGGAGGAGTCCAACCCAGAAAGGAGAAGGGACACCGTTTTCTTTGTGTTGAGAAATGTTGAGAAAACTTGGGCATCGTAACTCCTATTTTGCGATTCAAAAGGGAGACAGTCTCTGAACTTACACTTGATAAATGTCAGTGTCGGAAAAGTAGGAAGGGAGTGGGATGGCTGTGAAAAATGGCTGGATGAGTCAGCTTTTTCTTCTAGAAAATTTATTTGACTTGGGTTTAAAACGTCTAAAAGAAGCCAGGCTTGGTGGCTCAGCCTGTAATCCCGCGCCTTTGAGAGGCTGAGGTGAGTGGATTGCCTGAGCCCGTGGGTTCGAGACCCGCCTGGGCAGCGAGACCTCATCTCTACAATAAATCAAAAAATCAGCCAGGTGAGGTAGCACGCGCCTGTAGTTCCGGCTACTTGGAAGGCTGCGGCGAAAGGATCGCCGGAGCCCAGCAGGTTGAGGCTGCGGTGGCCGGGAGCGGCCACTGCACTCCAGTCTGGGCGACAGAATGAGACTCCAACTCAAAAACCAACACAAAAAAATGTCTAAAAGAGAAAATGCTCAGTTTTATTAATATGCTCCCAAACTGAATTCCGTCAAGTGCAATTTAACTTGTCATTGTCTTCATGATTTGTTATGTTATATCATTATTTGAACATAAATGTAAAATCTTCACATGTACAAGGTGGAACCCCCCAATAAACAGGAGTTACCTTTTGGAGGGGAGGCCCTTTGTAGTAGAGGCTTTGCCCACTAGGTAAGTGTGCTAGGAGCCCATCGGCATCAGTGCACCAGCTAACGTTGTTGTGAGAGGCTGCATTGCAGAAGAAACATCCTGAATTGTGGCATACAGGTAAGTGACTGGTTCTTCCACCATGACAACGCACCTGTCCACACTGCAGTGAGTGTTCAGTAGTTTTTGACCAAAAATGACGTGACCCCCGTGTCCTGCCCTCTCTATTCACCCCATCTCACCTTAAGCAACTTTTTTTTTTTGTTTCCCTGGGGTGAAAAAAATCCTCAGAGAGAAATGTTTTGCCCATGTGGAAGAGGTGAAACAAAAAACAGCAGAAGCACTAACAGACATCAAAATGAGCGAGTTCAAACATGGTTTCGAGCAGTGAAAAAGCATCTCGATAAGTGTATTGCATCAAACAGAGAGTACTTTGAAGGTGACTGGAGTTTAAACACATACAAATAAATGCACGCTTTTTTTTAAAGCAACATATCTTTACTTTTGAATACATTTGGGTGTATGTGTGTATGTACACACACATATAAAATAATTGGAAATCGAATATAGGCGTGGATTGAGAGAGCAAGCTGTGGTCACATGCAGGGATTATTCAACCTCAGGAAAATATATTAACATGATTCAATATACTATGTCAACTAATTACAAGTAAATACTCTTGTGTTAGAATATAGTCATGCCCCCAAAAGAAGAGTTGATAAAATTCAGAAACCATTCCTAATATATAAAGAACTTTTAAATCGGGGAAAAGAATTAGCAAGCAATTAAAAATAAGCAAAGACCCAAAGAAATTAATTGAATTAAAGAGGAAAATCACATGGTCAATCAAAATACGAAAAAATTAAATTGTGAAGGGAAACACATATTAGGGACATCACACTTTCATTTGTCATATCTGCAGCAAATATTCTCTTCCAGTATGATTCTGAATGCACAATTTTTAATAAATACAGTCTGGATTTTTTGGGTTCCTGCTCGTATTTGGATGCTATATTGACATTTTAATTGTTTCCCTGAAAATCTGTGTTTTGGGGTAACTGTTAAGTCCAGAGGCAGAAAAGCAGACAGCCTGACCATGGATAAAGTCATTGTGGCAGTCAACAGAAAGATAGAGAGGAAAGAAAGGCAAAGAAAGTAGGCACTACGGATAAGGAAGAAGAATTCTATCTAAAGTCTACTGTTACAAAATATTTAAGAAAGTAAATTTTTAAAATAAAATTTTAAAAATCCACTGTAACTTAGCAATCAAGACATCACTTTTGTGAGAACATTTATTAATGGGGCAAAAAAGCACAAGGTCATTGTCACCAAGTTTTCGGAGGACAAGATGAAGCCACAGGTCCTCTGGTCAGCGGGTACAACCTGGACTTTTAGGACCCTTGTAGTTTTAACTTGGTGACATGAAATCCTTTCTTGTGATTCACCAGGCTGGCTGCCCGCCCTGCAGAATTTGCCAGATTCTCTCTTGACTTCACAGAATGCTGTGTAGACTCAATCAAGGTTAGCTATAGGGTAGATGCTGCTTTCCGTCCACAGCTGTGCAGAAAAAACTTTTTTGAGCCTGTGGTGCAACAAAGCCAGCGCCAGCATTTTCACACTTTTTCCCCTGTAGGAATATCACGCTCCTTGGAAATAATAAGAGTTGAAAACATTTAGAGGATGCTGGCCACGCAGCCACTGCAGCCATCGTTTCAAGTCTGGAAACATTCCCTGAGGAAGAGTCAATGTTTTTCTCGTCAAACCCAACATTTGGGCTGTTAAACCATTTTCATCAAAACATTTTATTTATATGTAAAATGTTTTTAAAGCTCTTTCTGTGTAAGCATGATCATCTCATCATCATCAGGATGGGTCCAGTCCCTCTGTTTACCCATTCGTACCTGCTGTTGGTCAGCCTGTGTTTGTTTTGTGTCTGATGTTCCGTGTCTTTTTTGCAGATATTGATGAATGTGTAAACAACACTGTTTGTGACAGTCACGGGTTTTGTGACAATACAGCTGGCTCCTTCCGCTGCCTCTGTTATCAGGGTTTCCAAGCCCCACGGGATGGGCAAGGGTGTGTGGGTGAGTTTTGAGATTTTTTTCCCAACGTGTTTCACATGTCCCTACCAAAAAGAAATCAGTTATCGACAGCAGGAGCTTTGAAGCAGGCCACAGGCAGAACATTATCAACTTGATCTTGTCCCACTGTTTGAGGAATGTCCTGTGGCTTCTGAAAGCGGGAGCTACATTAAGAAAGGAAGAAGTGTAAATTTACATGTAAATGAATTTCAAAATCTGTTTAAACTCTTAGCTAAATATGCAGAACCCTGGAGTCCATCCTGCTCAGGAAGTAGAGTCTGGTGTGTGGTGTAGGTTGTCTGTGCTTGAAATGCACCTTCTCAGGCAGGGCATTGAAGGCACAGCCTTGGCAAGAGTTTTGGGATTCCGGGAACAACACCTGTAAAACAATGCTTTGAGTTGGGCAACTATATTTCTTCCGACCGTTCCAGGGTTTACAGAGCTGGAAGGAATCTTAAATATCATCAGCCATCCTAGAATATGGTCCAGCACCATATTCTTCAGAAGAAGATCTTTTCAATTTCATTCTCGGATTAGCTGCGATGTCCTCAAGGCAAATTCATTATGAAGCCCATTTGCAATTAAAGCAGTTGATTAAATGGGAAAGAGAAGAAAGCTTGTTCAATTCAAAACTTCACCGATAACGAGCCTTTTTCTTTATTCTTAAATAGAGAAAAATAGCCATGTGCACTCAGTGGCAGATGGTGTTTGAGGAAGAATCAATACCTTTTTGGCTTGAAAACTTCCAATTAAAATGTTAGTTCATTGACCATCCGGATGAAACTGGGAAAACAAATCTATTCAGAGCTTGAATGATAAGATAGCTTGAATAGTAATTGCTTTTATGGAATTAATTCTGAAATTCAGTTAGTTCTCGTCACAAAAATTATTTACAAAGCAGTGATGTCATTTTGAGCCTAAGCATTGGCTAGCCAGAAACATATATCATGTTCAAGAATCATTCACAAGAAAACCCAGCTATTTAAAAATAAAGCTAAAACGGTCCCAGCGTCTAGTTCCAACTCTTAGCCGTAGCCCCCTCCCACCAAAACTCAGGTGAGAGAAATCATCTGACGTTTGTATGATACTTTGACTAAAAGAGTCATGTGACTCGGCCTCTACTTATCTTCCCAGCCTCCCACTTCCTTCCTCAGCACTTTACGCATTCCAGAATGTCAAGCTGCTTGCGGTAGCTCGTGTCACTGTGCAGTTATGTGACTGTTGCTTGCCCCTTCTGCTGGAAATGTCCTTCCAGGCCCGTTCCCTGCTGCATCCCTCCCTTCCAGGCAGAGCTGTGACCCTAGCTTCCAGAACACTTCCACAAATCCTATGATGGCACATGCAACTCTATCATGGAAATCATCCAGTGATGTGTGTACCTCCTGCAGCCGGCTTCTCCAAGGCTCTGACCTCCATGTGATTGACAGCTTCCTCTCCTGCCCCTGGCCAACCGTGATGTTAGGTTGTCGTAGGGGCTCAGTACATTTCACTTGATGATCAGTATTAGAGGTGGAACCATTGATTCCACATAGCCATTTCAGTCTGGCACACAAAGCACCCTCCCGGAGAAGGAACATCTGTTCTCATTTTGGTGAACTCAACAGTTGTCACTTTTCTTTGTATTCATTAAAAAAAAATACAGGTACTGAGCACCTATGTATGTCCCGCCCAGGCCCCCTCATCACCTACTCATCTTTCAGATCTTGGCTCGGGTACTAGTTCCCTAACGCACCCCTGCACTTCAGGGTCTGTTCCACACTTTTCTACAGCTCTGTGCTTTCCGTTCCTTGTGCTCACTGAAGCCTGTAAGACTATCTTACTGAGTCCCCTGACTTGACTAAAAGCCCCGTGAAGGCAGGAGTTGGGTCTGCCTGATGCCTCTCTGCGCCCCACAGATGGACCATATAGGTCTTTCCTGTAGAAGTAAGCTAGAGAACGTTCCTTGATTGAATGTGTGCAGTCCATGGGAGATCTATAACCATGTAAATAATCCACACTGGAAAGTAGAAAGTTTCACTGGACATTTACCTGAAATTGATCAAGGGAAACTGGTACATTTCTGAAGTTTTTCAGGTCTAAATTATGACTCTCTAGGTTGATTCAACATTTCAGCTCTGCTTTGCTTTATGTCACAGTATTTTTTCACAAGTGAATCTCAACTTACTGGGTTTATATCTTTATATACAAAGTGAAATGGAGATCAGAGGTAATTATCTAAATCAAGATAAGTGTGTAAGCTTTTTGTTCAATTAACCGGGGGTAACAGGTAAAAGTAAGAATTTTTTTCTGAAATGATTTGGATAATTGCTCAATATTTTAATTTTGTATAAACCACCTCAGAGTGTGCACACAAAGGCTGATGTTTGCTCATGTTTATTGCACAAGATGCATGAGCATTTCAGATTTCAAGCTGGGTACTTTGCTGAACTGGGTACTCATTAATAAAATCTCTTAGGAGAAGAGAAAGTAAAAAGTACTAAGATGATCAGCCTGGGCAACTTAGCAAGACCTCATGTCTAAAAAAAAATCAAAAAATTAGCTGGGCATAGTAGTGCATGCCTGTAGTCCCAGCTACTCAAGAGGCTGAGGCAGCAGGATCATCTGAGCCCAGGAGGTCAAGGCTGTGGTGAGCTGTGATCTGGATGACAGACTGAGACCCCCATTCAAACAAAAGTACTAATATGAGCCTTTCTTTAGGGTTGTGCCTTTGCAAAATGTTGTTTAAAACGTGCTTGTCACTGAGATTCCCTGACTGTGTTTTATTTATGTATATTTAAGTACAGAAGAGAAACATTTAGCAAAATAGAAATGGCATTGTGGAACATCAACATAGTGAAATCAGTGATTAGTTATTGCACCAGTGTGTTTCCCATGGATGCTTAACGTAGCCTGATGACTGTTCCCAGGTCTTGCCATCATTTCTTAATGGGATATTGCAACCTGAATTCTGTTGTTAATTTATGGACATCTTGACCACTAGAGAAGACTTCTTAGACATTCAAGTGGCTTTTAAAATTTATTTATTATTTTTTATTTTTTTGAGTTGGAGTCTCACTCTGTTGCCCAGGCTGGAGTGCACTCATGGCCACCCTAGCGTCAACCTGCTGGGCTCAGGTGGTCCTCCCGCCTCAGCCTTCCAAGTAGCCAGAACTACAGATGCACTCTACCACACTTGGCTAATTTTTTTTTTAATTTATTGTAGAGATGAGGTCTCGCCATGTTGCCCAGGCTGGTCTCGAACCCCTGGTCTCAGGCAATCCTCTTGCCTTGGCCCCCCAAAGTGCTGGGATTGCAGGCTTGAGCCTCCATGCCCAGCCTTAAAGTTATTTAAGTGAACTTAAGTCTACCGTTGCTAAAGTGCCCATCCTTCTGGTCCTTCTTGAACTAAAAACTGAGAGTAGGGTGTTGAATCATTTAAGGCTCCGTTATGCTGAAAAGTCAGAGAAGATAAGACCAGATAGTCCATGAGTACACACCATGCTTGCCATGGGATTCCAGGGCATTCTTTAAAAACGAGACTTGGAATCTAGAAGCTTTTCCTTGCATTCCCATGGTCTTTTGATGCAGGCCAAATCGTGTAGCTCTGCCTTCCCTTCCTTCTCGGGGCAGAAGAGGTGTGATGGCTCCCTGGGGACCCCCTCCTGTCCAGCAGACACCACTAGCCCTGGTATAGCTGGTTAAATAAAGAATTGTCATGAATGCGGCCCCCTCTCACTCGAACCGTGCTCCCTTTTCCAGATGTGAACGAGTGTGAGCTGCTCAGTGGAGTGTGTGGCGAAGCCTTCTGTGAAAACGTGGAGGGGTCCTTCCTGTGCGTGTGTGTGGATGAGAGCCAGGAGTATAGTCCCATGACGGGGCAGTGTCGTGCCCGGGCCTCCCCAGGTAAGTCCCAGCGAATCCGTGCAGGGGATGGAGGGCTCCCCATGGGGACCTGTGCCTACATAGCTTTGGGCTAAACCCTCTGGGAGTGAGGCAAGAAGAAGCCGGATGTCCTGGTGCAGTGCTGTTTCTAGAAGATTCCATGCTGTTCCGTGCCTTATCAGTGGAATGAGGATGGGGTGATGACCATCGTGTGCTCTAGTGTGCCTTTAATGTGGCCTCTAATGTGCTTTCCAACCCAGGGATGCCTTGAATGTCTAAAAGGTCCAACATGATGAGAACATTTGCTGGGGACTGCTTAAAACATACAGAGCGATCAGCTCAGGGTTTCCTCTGCAGTGTCTCATTAAGTTGCATAATCCGCCTTTCTTGGCCCTCAGAGAAATGTATCTTGACACTTCTCTAAATTAAAAGCAACATATAGGCCTCTCAGGATCTACAAAGACTTCCACTTGGAATTCTTAAGGTGTTTTTCCAGAATTTGGCCTAGAGAGTGGCTATGTTTGCATTCGTTTAAAATTTGATTTAGTCTTTGTCGTCACCACGCGAATTGAAACAGTGTTGGACCGTTTTCCGGATGAGTTCATCAACTTCCAGATCACCCTCTTTGCTTGTGCCACGTAGCTATAGCTTGGGTGTATTTTAGGGAAAGCAAAAGCCTGAAAGATCCTTTAAGAGCCAAGTAAAATGAAACATGGACCGTTTTTTTCTCTTTCTCAGTCAGTTTTACACTTGCTCTGTGTAAAAGAGCTATCTTTGCAAGTAATAGAGAATAAAATACAAAAATATTTTCATCTATGCATTTTTTAAAATCAATTACTAAGTATAGAAAGGTGACAGGTATAGCCTTCAATGAACAGAGAGTAATTTTGAAACCTTGTAAAGGGGAAGAGACAGGTTATCACTGGTGAGAGGGTTTTGTCGTTTATTCTTGTGTCTGCTGCTGGGACACATGTGTCGTCAAGGAGAAACTTTTTATCTTAGTTGCATCTACAATAGCCAGAAACAAACCAACTTCCCCACATCCTAGAACAACCAAATTGACCAATAACAGAATTGGCTAAGTAACTGTCACTTTTTAAATTTTTGCTTGGTTACATAGAGTGGCACCTCACTCATTGTGCTATTTGAAATGAGTTAATTCTCGTATCATAATATTGTATAGTCATTAAATGGTCTATATGAGGGTTAAGTCATGCTAGTAAAGATAAGTGTATGACACAGTGTCAAGTGACAAAAAATAAGATATTCCAGTGATCACACTCTTGGAAAGTGGGAGTGAAAATATATGTAAAGATAATTGTTGGACTTCATGGAATTTTTTTTCCTTTATTTTCCAATCTTTCTGTAGTACTTTAGATGGGAGACCAGGGTTCTGGGCCATTAACCACTTTCTGGCTCTGTAAACTTGAGCGTCTCAGCATCTGTGAGTTTGGGTTTCTCACCTGTAAAGTTGAAAAGTTTTGTTTGCCTCAGAGTTTTATGAAGCTTTAGTGAAATCATATATGGAAAAGTCATTGGTTAAAGGCAAAGAACAACACGAAGTATTAAAATAGTCAGCCATATCCCAAACACATCAGAGGTCTCTCTTATCCTTTTGTGATCTCTTTTGAAACAGTGAATCTTTTAGCTGCAAATATTCTTGCTGGAATGTTCTAATAGCATCCAAAATTGGTTCATCCCGTTCACATAGCTTAGGGCACATGGCTGGGATCCTGAAGTTTGCTCATTCCTTCCTTATAGAGTTTACTAACGCCTTAGTGGGCTCAAGAGACAACAATATGAACCATTTTTGCTGAGCTGGGTTAGTTTCCTACAAGCAGCACTATCCAGCTTCCTAAAACTGAACGGTGACCCTTCTTGTAACCTGGCTTCTGATCTGCTTTTGAAGCTTTTCTGTAACTGTGATCCTAACTCCTTTTTCCTCCCTTTTACCTTTTTCCTCTCTTGCCTTCCTTGCTCTCTCATTGGCTATTCATCTTTCCAAAATGTTCTTCCAGTCAGATTTCACGGAGTACCCTCCTTCTGCTTTTCAAAGAGTGTAATTTTGAATACTTAGCTTCACATGGCATGTCTGCCAATGAATACATAGTTTCTCCCTCCTCTTAATATTATATCTAATCCGTAAATTTCTGGGTTTTTGCATACTTTCCCTATAATTCTCTGACTTCTGCTAAAGACTCTATGTACCCTGTTTTTTTATTGGCACATATCAGTGTGATCTGTCTCAACCAATAACTAGTTGAGCGTATTAGTTTGTATAGTTTCTGGCAGACTTGACTTTTACCACACTTGAAATTGTATCGTTCTTGGAGAACTTTGACCAATTATATGGAGTCTCAATGCCTATGACTGTCTTCATTTTAAGCAGTTCTCCAGCAGTACCTGAGAGATTTGAGTTTAGCTAACTTTTTGTGTGAGTTTATCAGAACCGATAATTGATCAGTCATTTGAAAAAATCGATTAAAACTGGAAATCATAAAAAAGATAATATATCTTCCAAATATTTAGTTTTTAATTCAAAGCATGTAAATGTATGAGGGGGACCCATAAAGACCTAGAATTATTTTTTGGAGGATGGGCCCCTTGTAAAACAGGCTTCTGCCGGGCCTGGTGGTTCAAGCCTATAATCCCAGCACTTTGGGAGGCCGAGGCATGAGGATTACCTGAGCTCAGGGGTTCGAGACTAGCCTGGGCAACTTGGTAAGACATCGTCTCTTTAAGAAATCAAAAAATAAGCTGGGCTTGGTAGCGTGCATCTGTAGTTCCAGCTATTTGGAAGGCTGAGGCAGAAGGATAACCTGAGCCTAGCAGGTCGAGGCTGCAGTGGCCATGAGCGTGCCACTGCACACCAGCCTGGATGACAGAGTGAGACTCCAACTCAAAAAACAGGCTTCCCCCACTAGGTAAGTGTTCTAGGAGCCCATCGGTATCTGCACCAGCTGCTGTAGTTATGAGAGACTGTGTTCCTCTTCAGTGATTTTTTTTTTGAGACTCTTTGAACATGTTTGCCCATGTCATGATGGATGATTTATGAGAGCACCTGTCTAAACTGCACTGAGGGTTCAGCAGTTTTTGTCCAAAAACAGCATGACTCCTGTGCCCCACCCTCCCTGTTCACCGGACCTCACCTCAGGTGACTTTTTTTTTGTTTCCTCAATGAAAAAATCCTCAAAGGAAAACATTTTGCTGAAGTGGAAGAGATGAAACAAAAAACGGCAGAAGCTCTAAAAGGCATCAAAATTGAGCAGTGGAAAAGGCGTCTTGATAGGTGTATTGCATCAAACAGAGAGTACTTTGAAGGTGACTGAAGTTAAAACACGTATGAATAAATACACACATTTTTATAAATGAATTCTGGGTTTTTCTGGGTCCCCTTGTACACTTATCCACCAATCTTTGGAGAAGGGAAAAGGCCTTTCTTGGAGTAGAGGTGCACTCCTGGAGTTTGCCTGGCTTATCTTGCATAAACTCCACCTAGTAGGTGTTCCTGCACTGCCCATTTTAAGGGGAGTGAGGATTTAAAGGCCTTTGCAGGCCATTGCCTTGCTAGACTCTGGTGCGGCCATGTGCTGTTTGAGCTATGACTGTCACCAGGCTTCCTGGCTTTGGCCTCCTCCCCCACCTTGGGGAGGAGAATATTCTCTCTTCCTTCTTTTTGTCTCTCTAATTTACTTTTAATTATCTTTTCTTTCTTTAAAAAAATAAAAATAAGCTGGACTCGGTGGCTCAGCCTGTAATCCTGCGCCTTGTGAGGCTGAGGTGAGTGGATTGCCTGAGCCCATGGATTCGAGACCCGCCTGGGCAACTTGG